TATTTTTAAATCATCTTTTGATTTTTGACTATCTGTAAATGTAGTTTCCTGCTCTTAATTGTGAATGCATACTTGATGGTTTTAAATGCTCCTGAAATTAAGTGCTGCTTGACGAGCCTATACAGTATTGTGTTCATGTATGTGACGTCACTGAAGGCCTAAGGTTGAAATGCACGGCCCGCCACTGATTATTACTATCATCATTATTACTCTATAAAGGCTTGAATGTAGTCAATTCCTTGACTCATTTTATTTATCCTCCTGACTACCAGTAGTTCAAATTTGTCCTCTGTAGAGGACATTTGTGAACCTAAATATCTCCCACCCAGTGCCTCCAATCGCATTAACTCCTTTTGTTACTCTAAAGAGGACATTAAGTGCTTTCCAATGATACCAAATTTGTAGGGGTTAGAAAAAGTAAGAAAATGGCTTACCTCAGTGCAAGCACTTTTTATGGGAAGAGGAAAAGTAATACTTTTTATCGACCACATTTTGTCTTGAAATGCTGTTGGCATTTTAATTATCAGACTCTTATGAACACGTTAAAGTGTTGTTTGAGTTGTTTTAAGTGTATTTGAGCCTGTTTAAAAAAGGTAGTGGGATTTCAAAAATTTCTTTTGGAGGAGTCCAATTACTTCACATAGATTGGGGAATGTCAAAATAAATGTGATTGCACAACATTTTTTTTCCTGGTAGTCAGGAGGTTAAGACGATAATGGTTTACCTTTTCAGTTTTAAGTTGCTTCTCCACCAGCTGAGGAACCATAGCGTAGCGATTGGGCATCCATGGCACTGACACATTCACAAACTCCATGTCTTTGGTTTGGAACACATTCTTCACTCCTGAAGAAATATACAAAAAAAACAGAAACAAATTTGTAACATTTTTAATTGGACTAATGCTCCATAAATCTTAACATTAACAACGTGAGCAAAGTACGAGAGATCCAGTACAGTAATAATGCTCAGATGAAACACTTGCAATTAGGAAAATGGATGGATGGGTGGATGTTAAAGGGCTCAATGGTCAAGGACCATATTGTTTTTGGCATTGAAGACAAAAGGTTAATTAAGGGCCTTCCTCACGAGTCTGTGTTCTCCCTAAACATGGCTGTAAAAATTTGCCAAGCAAATGAACTCTCCCTAAAGCATATGAAAATGTTGAGCGAGATGTCAAGTGCCACACCACCCATGAGCGAAGAAGCAGCGATCCGCGTTGTGTCGTTTCAGAGCGGGAGACGTCATCAGCCGGCTTGGACTGCACAGCGTCTAGTGAGGTTAACACTGCTCACTCTGAACCACTTGGAATAAACAAGTACGAAGAACGTCAAAATGTGAACTAAACAAACCTGATAGACTGTTGTATCCCTTTCGAGTATGTTTGCTTAGAATTTACACAAAAGTTAACCTGTTAAAAAAAAAAAGAAAAAGCCCATTCACACTGTTGATCACATCATCTCTAAGAAATGGGATGTTATGATCATTATTACCACTCGGGGTCGCTGCTTATTCACTGTGTGATGCAGCCCAGAACAGTGGTTCTTAACCTTGTTAGAGGTACCGAACCCAACCAGTTCATATGCACATTCACCGCACCCTTCATTAGTGAATAATAAAAATATGATTTTTCCAAATTCAAGGCATTAAAAAACACATTTATTAAAAACAGAAAAAATGAAATACAATTAGTACTGTTATGTTTCTGTTTAGATCACGTTTGGTTTTGTTCCCTTATGTGCCCTTTTTGTCGCCACCTGTTCTTGTCATCAGTGTCCCTTGTGTTTAACCAATCAGCTCCCTCAACCCTTCGTGTCTTGTCCAGGTGTGTCTCGTTGTCTCGTCACTTTGCTTGTATTTAATTCCATGAGTTCTGTCACTCTTTGTTGGGTCATTGTGAGTGTCTGTGTGCTCTTGTCAGGTTTTGTTTTCTGTCACAGGTTTTTGGCTACTTTCGTTCCTGTGTTTTTCAGGACTTTGTTTGAGTTAGTTTCTCCAGTGTACTCCTGTTTGGATTTTTGTTAAATACTAGTGATGGGAATCTGAAGCCTCATGAAGCAATGAGGCTTTCCATCCAACTGGGTCGGTCCTGGGCCGATGCATCATGAGGCTCCATTTGTTCTATTGCGCCATCATGTGGAAAATAAATGTCATGACACAGTGATTAAAATACCATGGCTTTGATGGAGTCAAAAGGGCAGGGAGTTGTGATGTGAATGAATGTGCGTGTGTTACTTGAAAGAATGATTGCTTTATTTTAGACATTGACATAAACAAGGAACAGATACACACAAGATACACCTTTCATTCATTTTTATTGAGGAAAACAAGCATTTCCAAAGTGTTTGGCTTTAAACGGTTTCTTTTCTTCGATAGGATTTTTCCTGCTTTTGAAAATAGTCTTTCACAAGGGACGGATGAGGCTGGGGTACAGAGAAAGGTTATAGCTAATTTGTAGAGGTTGTACATTCGTTGCAACATGTGGAAGGTGCTGTTCCAGCGTGTCTCCACCTGAAAATAAAAGGTCATTATTGTTTGAAAGGGGAGTGGAAGCAGTTATGGATGTCAACTTACCTCTTGAATGAGCTTCAGCACAGGCTCTGTAGGCATCATTTGCTCCTGCACCTGTGTCAGCCTTGTCTATAAAAATTAAATATGAAACAAAACATTTTTCAAGTCATTTTGCATTAATTTGAATACTGCTGTGTAATAAAGGAATTCACCTTTGCAGTGGTACTGCTTTTGAAGTAGCCAACTATCCTCCTACACTGAAGACGGATCTCAGACAGCTCAGTGTTTTCTGCCAGAGCCTTCTTCACGATCAGATATGTGTGGCGCAGATGAAGGTCTCTGGCACATGCAGCCATGTTGGCTGCACCATCTGTCACAAGGCAAGTTACCTTGGTGGAAATGCCCCATTGTGCCATGAGTGCCGATGGAACGGAAGCCATGTTCTCAGCTGTATGG